TTCCTAGGCTAGATGACATGCTTGATAGGTTACATGGGGCACAAGTGTTTACAAAGATTGATTTGTGAAGTGGATACCACCATATTCGAATTAGACATGGGGACGAGTGGAAAATAGCTTTTAAGACAAAGGAGGACTTGTATGAATGGCTTGTGATGCCATTTGGTTTGACAAACATGCCAAGTACTTTTATCAGAGTAATGAATTGGGTATTGAAACCTTTTATTGGAAAGTTTATAGTTGTTTATTTTGACGATATTCTGAATTATAGTCAAGTAGACAAAGAGCACATTCAACACTTGCACGAGATACTAATAGTTTTACAGAAAAACAAGATGAATGTGAACCTGAAGAAGTACAGTTTTATGACAAATAGGTTGTTGTTCCTAGGCTATATTGTTGGGGCATATGGTATTCAAGTGGATGAAGACAAGATTCGAGCAATTAGGAAGTGGCCTACCCCAAAAACAATAAAGGATGTCCGAAGTTTTCATGGGTTGGCGACCTTCTATAGGCATTTGATTAGAAATTTTAGTAGCATTGCAACACCTATTATAGAATGTCTAAAGAAAATGAAGTTTCAATGGAGTGAGGAAGCTAAAACTATCTTTGCTGTGTTAAAGGAGAAATTATGCATTGCCTAATTTTGAGGCCTTGTTTGAAGTTGAGTGTGACGCTAGTGGTGTGGGAATATGAGCTTTCCTTTCACAAAATAAGAGACCAGTAGCTTATTTAAGTGAGAAAATCAATGATGCAAGGCGTAAATGGGCTATGTATGATGGAAGTTTTATTCTGTTGTGCATGCTTTGAAGACTTGGGAGCACTATTTAATAGGGTGTGAGTTTGTTCTATACTCTGACCATGAAGCCTTGAAGTATTTAAATAGTCAGAAGCAAATTAGTAGAGACATGCATGCTAGGTGGACTCAGTTTCTACATAAATTTCCTTTCAAGCTAAGACACAAAGTAGGAATACATAATAAAGTAGTAGATGCATTGAGTGGACATGTTGATTTATTGGTGACCATGACACAAGAAGTTGTGCGGTTTGAGACAGGGAAGGAACTATATGAAACGGATGAAGATTTTCAGAAAATATGAGAGCAGTGTGTTACAAACCAACCTGTTGAAGATTTTCACATTCATGATAGGTTTCTCATTCGAGGCAACCAGCTTTGAATCCCTAAAATTTTCTTGGGAGAGAAGCTTATTTGAGATTTGCATGGTGGATGTCTTGTTGGTCACCTAGGGCATGACAAAACGCTTGCTATTGTGGGTGATCGATATTACTGGCCACATCTGAGGAGAGACATGACAAGGTTTGTGCAGCGATGTTATATATGCCAAACTGTCAAGGGGCAGTCTCAAAACACTGGTTTGTATATGCCTTTACCTGTTCTAGAAAATATTTGGGAGGATTTATCTATGGATTTTGTGCTTGGATTGCCTTGGACACAAAGGGCGTAGATTCTGTTTTTGTTGTGGTTAACAAGCTTTCTAAGATGGCACACTTTATTCATTGTAAGAAGATGTCTAGATGTGTTAGGAGTCGATCTACCCAACGTAGCAGAAAAACAAAGATCAAAAGGATGAATCGATTCCTTTTATGCCAAGATCTGGGTATAGATTATATAGTTTACATGTTAAATCAAAATTCTGCACAAAAAAAATATCAATCCATTCAAGGATCAGAGATCTTACGCACGTTTGGAGACTCCTTCAAATGTCTCTAAATTTTTCTTCGCTACTAATTCAACGCAGAACCGTACGAACGGTAATCCACACAAAGACAATCCGAAGAACCAACCCTTGTTTTGCTAGAACAAAGGGGTGGCTTCAAGAATCAAGTTGAATCAAAGAAAAACTTTGATTCACATAAAGGGAAACGTGAGAGAGCGAGAGTAAAGGGGTGGCTACCTTTTTCTATTCAATAATTGATTGAATGAATTATGAATGAATATTTTTAACTCAACTTGCACTTATATAGTGCTAGAGTTAAAACCCTAGTCCTATATGGAATAGGCATTGGCTCCAACCCTAATCCACCCTTGTATCCAAACACTCTTGCTATGGTATTTTATATTTAATTAATTATTATTATAATTAAAATCAATTAATATATTTATAAAATATATTAACATTTAATTAATAATAATAATTCATTTAAATATATGCGTACATATATTTAAATATAATCTCACTAATTTAATTTTAACATTAAATTAAATACAGTCAACAACCTCAACAAATTTAATTACACTGTGAGATTACCAAAATACTTTTTCGTCCTAAAAGACAAAAATACCCCTTGAACAAAACGATTCTTAAATTATCTTCTAAGTGTGTGACCCGTAGGCTCTTCATCATATCGGCAGTGAGTAGTATCGCAATTAACACCAATTAATCGTCTCATTACACACATACCAAGATTGGCCCCTAGCAAGGCATCATGACCACCTGATAGATTTGGATTCAGCGAAATAGCTATACATCAACGATATGGTTACCATGCAATCAAATCCTTTCATCATCTATTATCTTATCGAGACTCAGGTAAATAAATTGTGTCAACCTCAGTTACTCTCAATATCTTTATATTCAATTACTGAACCAATGATCGAATAAATAAATTGGATTGAGCAACAACTCAATCCTACTGTGGCCACAACTTTAGTGTCATTGTCATACATTGAATTACGCTGTGAGATAACTTCTCCCATACTCGGGAGTGATGAATCCTCTGTCGATCCACCATAGTCTTGACAAACTCCTCGATGTAGCCAATCACTACCGTATTGATACCTCTGAATAGAATTACGTTGGGCTAGTGTCAAATTACACCAATTGGTACACAAGGTGCTTCGGTGATCTCAAGTCTAAGGATCACATGTACCACCATTCATTAGAGGATTTGTTCCATAGACACTAGGGTTACCATCTATATAGAATCTTCTGGTGGGTCAGTCTAATAAACTTACCTACAGCAAGCACTCATGTGTTGCACTAGGTTGTCAGCAAACAAACTTGACAAGTGAGATTAGTCACTACCTTTTGACAGGGTCGTTCAACACGATGATAGTCTTACCGTATTATATGTTTCTTTAGTCAGAATAATATTGGGGCTATGGACATTTCTAGGATGACCAACATATGTGATCATAAGGTTCTCACTATCAAGATTTGAAAGACTTGATACCCTCGTCATAGTTTCACCATCCTAAGGACATATATCAATACATACAGATATGATGTACATGATATAGTAGAAAATGTCTCTTTATTTATTAATAAACATTATTACAAAGAGTCACTTCTACAATAATTGATTGACTCTAGAACACCTACTCCAACAAGATGCAAACGGAATTGCCAAATTGTTTTTCAAGGAGATTATCCATTTGCATGGAGTACCTAAATCTATTACTTCTAATCAAGATAGCAAATTCCTTGGCCATTTTTGGAGAACATTGTGGAAGAAGTTCAATTCATCTCTGAATTACAGCAGTACTATTCATCCACAAACTGACGGTTAAACTGAAGTTGTGAACATAACTCTTGGCAATTTGATTCAAAGTATTTGTGGCGATAAACCAAAACAATGGGATGTAGCTTTATCACAGGCTGAATTTTCCTACAACAGCACTACTCATAGCGCCACAGGGAAGTCTCCTTTTTCAGTTGTGTACACCAAGCCCCCGCAGCATGCTCTTGACTTGATCAAATTATCGAAAGTCCCTGGTGTTAGTGCAATTGCAGAAAATATGGCTACTTAGTGGCAAGATGTTCAAGTTGAGGTGAAGTGGAAGTTAGAGCAAGCTAATACCAAGTATAAGAAAGCTATAGAGTAACATCGCAGAAAATAGATTTTTGAAGTTGGGGATTAGGTCCTAGTGTTTCTTCGAAAGGACAGATTTCTAGTAAGGACTTATTATAAGTTGTAGCCTAAGAAGTATGGGCCTTACCAGGTTTTGCAAAGATCAATGACAATGCCTACGTTGTGGATCTGCCAGACACAATGGGAATTTCTAAGACATTTAACGTGGCAGATATTTACCCATTTCACTATTTTGACGAACCTTTGTATCTCGATGCCCAACTTAACTCAGGGTCAAGTTTTTCTCAAGTGGAGGGGATTGACATAGAACGTTTAGCGGATGAATTCATGGAGCGGGCTGAGCGTCAGAAGTCCACACGTAAAGCCTAAAGGTCCTAAATGAGCATGTCTCATTCAAACGACTATAACTTTTGATCCGAGAGGTGTTATAAGGCTCATAAGATATCGACGGAAAGCTTATTTCAAGCCTGTCGATGTGAAAACCCACTTTATCTGATTGGAGGTCGTTTTCAAGGGAACAATCCACCGTTTTGACATGTTTTGGGGCTGTTTTAGTTGTCTGCGCATTTTTTTCTATTTTATTTGGGGTTTTCTTGTTTTAATTAATTTAGATTTTGTTTCCTTTTGTTATTATGAGCCTTATTAAGGTTAGTTGTCACCTTATATAAACTTATTTTTTGTTTTGGATGTTATTCAATGAATTATTCAGATTTATTTCATATTTTAAAGCTTAAGTTTTTGTGATTAAGATTCGTTATCAACCCTCACTACAAGGAAAAAGACTCTTCTTAACGAGGATTCCCCATTAAGAAAGGGGTACAATGACAGTTTTTGAACTATCAATGTAGCCCCTGTCAAAAAAGGGATATGACAGTTTTTGAACTGTCAAGGACCTCTTGTCAAATCCTTGACAGTCAAAGATTTAGCAAAATTTGAACCAAATCCATGACAATTCAATAATTGTCAAGAATTTAGCTGAATTTTCAATTTTTGTTTTAGAATTTTAGCCAAAATGTTGACAATTTTCACACTTTCGAGATTTCGTTTGTTAATTTTTTTAAATTAATGAAATTTCTTTATTATTACGTATTAAATTGTAGAATAGTCGAATGAAATGCTTCACAATATTATGACCATTCCAGAATATGTAATGAGACATCGAACAATTGATCGAATAATATATATATCACTGTTGCTCTGAGTAGACAAAATTGAACAATAGTATAAATTTTACAATATTGCATAAACAACAATGAAAAGTAATCAATTCAGTAATGAAAAGTTTGGTGCATAGTTTTTGCCCTTATTGGCCTCTGACATCACTAAAACAACAATAACTGAAAAAAGTTTGATACGTACATTGCCCATTTTGCTCTTCATCATAAAAAGACAATTTTTGAAAAATCCAACCTGCAAAAGGTGTCTCTTGTGAAGGCAAGAGCATTTGTTTTCCCTGGTCATGCATCATGCTTATAGCTGCCACATTATTGTTTCAAAAAGAAAAAAGAATAGAAAAATATATGGAAGAAAATTATACAATTAACACATTCAAATATCCCAAAATCTAAAAAAGAGATTAAAGAGGTCTACACACAAGTTGCAGCTCTCAAGGGCAACAGCTTATTAAAATTTCTTAATTTAGCATTCTAAAATATCAAGGAAAGAAATGGAACCTAATAGAATGATGCTCTGATATTACAGAGAAGAGCCCACAAAAATTTCTGCAATATGCTCCTTGAATGACCAAAAAGGTCTCTAACATCATCAATGCCATTCATATTCACCAGTGTAAACTGCTCAAAAATAAAATAAAAAGAACAAACATTCCGCATCTAGTTCTACCTTTTCCTCTATCTTGGGGAGATTTCCAACTGTTATTCATATCAGACATTTCAGATAAGAGTGAAGTTAGGTTTTTTATGTCTTTTAAGGGCAAAATGAAAATTCCATACTGGAATTACCTCTTGCAACAACAGGCATCTTTTTAACTGTAACATACAAGCAGAACATATGAAGCTGCTATTAAAATGGATAAGACTATTTAGACTAATTTTTATAAAAGGATTGCAACCTGTCCTGTAGCTTCATCAAGGTCAAACACTTTGGGTGGACTACTTTCAACCCAGGCTTGTCTCTCTACAAGCATCAGAGTTTCCATTAAATCTTCATTGATGTGGATCTCTGGTTCGTACATGAAAGTGACAGTTGCAGCAGGTGACCATTTTGCATGATCTTTGCCAATCCCTTTTCTGGCTATTGCTCTAAGCCTCAGTTCTTGCCCATGACGCAACTTCACAATGATAATGCCCCCAGATGCAAAATAAACCAACTAAAATTCAACATGTGAATTATGTAGCCAACTGCATAAATCTTCACAACAAGCCAAAACATCATATTGCAGTTTCAAGAGGAAAAGGGAAAACCAAGGGAGAAAAGACAAGTTTTGAAAAAACCAACCTGCAAATGACCAACTTTTTCAACCTTGGGTTTGGAATTTTCTTCTTGCGGCACATCTGGCTACATCTGCTCCCAAACCTACTGCTCTGCAAGCCACTACTGGATATACTTCTCCACGTACTCTGGAAACATTTTCCTGAATGCTGCACTGTGAAGAAAGAAAACATTAGATTGAATAACAATTAAAAGTAGACTCCCATAAAAATTCAGAAAGAATAATTTCATGCAGCATTTCCCTATCATTATCAAAAACTTATTTAAATGAAAAAATTGGCAGGATTATTAAGCAAGCAACAACCAAGCTAAGGTTACAGGAAAGGGCTACTCTATTCACTCTGTTATGAATCAAGCCAGATCTAGAGACAACTAGTTTAAACACTCAATATAGATAGAACCCAAATTTAGGCAGCAGTATGTAAAGAAATACAAGGAATATATTTTATCAGTGACCTGCCCTTACATGAAGAAATTTAAAATCAAAGTACGTTTACTCATCTCACTTCTAAGACATGGGCTTTAATCCCCAATCATAGGTGCATATAATGTAGAAAAACAACTGAGGCAGTTCTATATCGTCTGAACCAGGAAGGAAAACAAAGTCCTTGGAACAATACACTTACTTCTTACAATTGAAAGTGAGAGATGCTTTAGCTAGACGCCGCTTCTCGGCAGGGGTTGAATTCACGCTGCCCATGGTAGGACTAGTTTCCATCTGCATAAGAAAAAGATAAAGCAACCCTACATTAAGAAACTTCACGAAATCTAGAAAAACTTCAGATATGCTTCTACAAAAAAAAATTTCTTATAAAAGAGATTTCAGTTAAATTTGATTGAGATGCGCCAGCTTAGGCTTCAATTTGACAAAGGGAGGTCTAAGAGATTTCCATTTTCAGTGCAAATAGAATCAAGTCCTAGTTAGCAGCCCAACTAAAGTTATTAATCTGTACAAGTGAAAGAACATAGTGTAGTTCAAAGCATTTCCAAGAAACAACCCTATACAATGATTCATTTTAAAGCTTCAAGCATGCCATCATGGCATAACAATGAGGCAGAAATAGTCTTCCAATGACTGAAACTCACTACCAGAACAGACTATGCTTACCCTAGAACATTAATAATTAATTGAAACCTCAAGATGGAGGACAAAGGCAAGTAAGACATATCCAAAAGAAATGGAGTGACCCTTGAAAGCAACTAAGAATCAAGTTACCAAAGAGCTTACCGTGAATGAGAGAAGCCCTGTAAGTATCTTGCATTTGGAGAATATGAAGAACGTTAGTCAAACATACAAAAAATGATACAATCTACGCAACTTAATATAAGAAATTTTATATGAGCACAAATAATAACAGTATCAGAAAAGAACATCACAAAAAGATCACATACAACAATTCTGTTTATTAAAACTTCTACACAGGCAACAGATTTAAGGTGGAAGAACTAGTGATTACATGTAGGTGGAACTTATATAGCAAACCATTATTTTAGCAACCACAACATGTTACACATACTTTTAGCATATGAAATTGTGTTCTCCCACAATTTTCTATGCAATTGCAACAAGGGTTTTGTGTTCTCAAGTCTTTGGCACAGCATATTTCCCCAATTCAAATTTCCAACAGGAGCAATGTCCTGCAACTCATAGTAAAAAAATCTCCTCCTTTATTTAAGTAGCCAATTCTTTCAACACTCAACCTTCCAACCCAGATGCTCATAAATCTACAATGCTACTCAACCATACAACCAGGGTTCTAATAACTAAGTGATGATTTCATGAAAAAGCAAAAATACTAAAAACAGATTCCTCTTTAGTTACATTACTCCATACCCAACCCTCAACAAATCCTAAATTTTTACCTTTTTCTTTTCTTCTTTCAATCTTCTATTGTCTACCCACAAATCCATAATAAACATAATCCAAAACCCATTTTGCACAAACAAAAACTCATCTTTGTGCATATTTCTCTGCAAAAAATTAATCCCACAAGGAGGAGAAAACAACCCATCAGAGCAAAAAACCATTAGCACGAAGCATCCATTTTTCAAATCAGAACCCATTAGCATCAAGATAAAACATGGAAATCAATAAAAAAAAATCAAACAAACACATGATCCACAGCAAAAACAAACAAAAGAAATTAAAAAAAGAAAAAAAAAACCAATAGAAATCACTTCTTAGTTGGCTTACGGGGGTAGAAAGAGAGACCTTTATAATACGAGATTCCATCCCTCACTGACAGGAATTGCTACTTGAACTGTCAGCGGTGAACTTCATGCCTCAGCTTGCTTAGCCTCTGTTCCGTCTGGCTTTGCTCGAGAAAAGGACCTGCTCTTGCCGTTCATTAGGGATGATGGGCTAGGCGGGAAGCGTACTGAACCAACCTGTTTGTTTAAGCGGATCACCACTCTTCGAGGAATAGTCTCGGTTAGGCGGGTTTTCTCTCTCTTCTCTTCATTGTTACCTCTGACAAACACCGCCAGTAGATAAAGCTTCAAAGGGTTCGAAAACCCACTTTCTTCATTAGGATTCCTTGAGGGAGGGTTTATAATCTACCCTCCCAGCCCCGTTTTGAAACAGACAGGAAGTTCCTTTTTGGGGCTGTGGTCCATTTTTTTTTTTTTTTTTTTTTTTTTTTTTGTACCAGTTTGTTTTAAGAAGAGATTTGGCGGAAGTTTTTGGGTGGGAGAGATTTGGGTTTTTTCTTGCCCTAGGTTTGACTTGGTCGAAATTTGGGGGGAAAATGGGTGTTTTGGGTCGAAAGAATTTGCCTTAGCAAAATTTCACGGTGAGAAGCCTTAGCCAAATTGGCGTGTATTTATTTTTTTTTTTTTTAACTTAATCCTCGATGATTAAACACAGTCAATGATTAAGAGTATAACAATCGAGGAATGAATTTCATTTTTTCAAAATCTTTGACAGTTAAAAACTGTCAAGGATTAAGACTATAATAATCAAGAAATGAAATTGGTCAACTTAATTTTTATAAAATTTTGACAGTTAATAACAGTAAGGATTTGTTAAAACAATCAAGAATTGTCTCAAATCTTTAACAGTTGAAAAAAAGTTAAGAAATTGTTAAAGAAAAGATTTATTGACTATTTTTAAAAACAGTTAAGAAATTCTGTCAAGAAAGGTCTTTTTCCTTGCAATGCCTAAAGGTGTAATCGAGTGTTATCCTTGTTTATTATGCTAACTCGCTGCGTCAATGTCTTCCAATGTTGATGACATCTATGATGCATATGGTGCAATCGAAGAACTTGAACTATCAACCACTGCAATTCAGAGGTTTGATTTGTATTTCCTCAATTTTTGCTATGTCGTATCCTTAACTTATAAGTAATTATTTATTATTTTATTTTATTTTATCGTTTCCAGATGGGATATCAGTGCTATAGATCAGCTGCTAGAGTAAATGAAAGTTAGTTACAGGGATCTCCTTGATGTTTATGATGAAATTGAGAAAGAGATGGCCAGCCAAGGAAATTATACAGCCTTGATTATGCAAAAGAAGGGGTAAATCTCATTTTAGTTTATTAATTGAAGTAAGTAAGATTCTTGTCAATGATTTGTACTTGCAATACAAATTTCGATTAATATTTTATGGTTTCTTAGATAAAGAATTTAGTGAGAAATTATATCATTGAAGCTAAATGGCGTGACCCAAATTATGTATCGACAATGTAAGAGTTCTTGTCTATTGCATTACTTAGCTACGGTTACTTAATGTTAGCAGTGTTGGGGAGATTTAATTGAATACTAGCAAATCCTAAATTCCTGAAAGCGAAAAATAGTGCGAACAAATGACTCAACATAACCACACACACAAACACAAGATTTATAGTGGTTCACTCTCCATATGAGAGCTACATCTATTTTGCCGTTGCGGAATTTCACTATGAAAAATAAGAAAATTACAAGAATCTCTCACAAGCCTCACAAATTGACTCACTCTCTAAAACCCTATTTGGTGGCTCTTACTCTCTAATTGTGGCTTTGCCTTCTTTTCAATTTGTGTTATCTAACTCTAGGACTTAACCCATTTTTATAGGTAATACATGCGACACTATTCCTAATAGGACTCAAATCTCATATCCTAATAGGAGTTATATTTTAATTCCTAATACAATTATAATCCTATTCCCAATTGTATTTCTAAAGGAAAATAATTCTACTTAAAAACAAATTAGGAAAACCTATGTCCTATTCCGACTCTAATTTGGATTGAATTTGGCTCCACAATCTCAATAATCTCCCACTTGGAGACTAATTCAACACATGTCTTCAATTCTTCACTTCCATCAGCAACGGCATCAACTTTTCTTTCTTCAAGCAAGAAGTCCAAAACTTCAGTTTCTCAATGGTAACCATCTTCGTAAACATATTAGCTGGATTTTTACTTCCTTCAATCTTCTCGAGAGCTATAACTCCTTCTTCCAAAACTGAGCATATGAAATGGTAACGAACTTCTACGTGTTTTGTCCTAGCATAGTAGACTGTGTTCTTTGCCAAGTGAATTGCACTTTGACTATCACAATACAAAGCGCTCCTCTCATAATTCTAACCCAAATTCTTTTAAGAACCATTGTAACCATATTAGCTCCTGACTAGCTTTTGTCATAGAAACATACTCTACCTCTGTAGTAGAGAGAGTAACATTCTTTTGTAACTTTGAAACCCAACTAACTGTTGTACCACCTAACGTAAAGACACAACCCGTGGTACTCTTGTGGTTATCAATGTCACCAGCCATATCAGCATCCACATAACCTTGCTCTAAGTCTGACTTCCTAAAGCATAATGCTAAATCTATAGTACCTTTCAAATATTTGATAATCCACTTTACTGCTTCCCAATGTTGCTTTCTTGGATTGCTCATGTATCTACTCACAACTCCCACTGCATGTGCTATGTTTAGCCTTGTACACACCATGGCACACATAAGACTACCAATCATTGATGCATAGGGTACCTTGGCCGTGTAATCTCTCTCATGCTCTTTTGTAGGTGGCTGATCTTTAGATAGTTTAAAGTGACTAGCCAAAGGAGTACTTACTGGCTTTGCTCTATCCATGTTGAACCTATTGAGTACTTTCTTCGCATACTCTTCTTGTGACAGCTTCAAGAAACCTTTGGCTATATCTCTGGTAATCCTCATACCAAGGATTTGTTTTGCAGCTCCTAAATCCTTTATAGCAAACTCCTTTGATAATTGCCTTTTTAGCTTGTCTATTTCCTATTTACAAGCCCTTCTAATCAATGTGTCATGTACATATAGTAATAGGATGATATAGGAATTAAAGTTCTTGAAATAATAGTAATGGTCTGCTTGCCATCTGAGGAAACCATTTCTACACATAAATCCATCAAACTTCTTGTAGCACTATCTAGGCGCCTATTTGAGCCCATATAGGCTCTTTTGAAGTTTGCACACCATTCTCTCCTTTCTTGGACTTTAAAACCTTATGGCTGCTGCATATAAATTGCTTCATCTAGTTCTCTATGAAGAAATACCGTCTTTACAGCTAACTACTCAAGATGAAGGTCTTCTTTTGCCATTAACCAAGTACTGTTCTTATTGCAGTCAACTTGATAGCTGGAGAGAAAATTTCAGTACAGTCAATGCCTTCTTTCTACTGAAATCCTTTCACAACTAGTCTTGCTTCATATCATTTGCTGCCATCATATTCATCTTCCACCCGATAAACCTACTTGTTTTGCAATGCCTTCTTCCCTTGTGGTAGCTCTGTCAACTGCCAGGTTTGATTTGTTAATAATGAGTCCATCTCATCCTTCATAGCTAGCTCCCACTTGATTGAGTCATCAATTTGCATTACTTCCTTGTAACACTCTAGTTCACCACCATCAGTTAGTAAAATATATTTCAACGAAGGGGAGTACCTCTGTGGTGGTCTTATAGTCTTAGAAGATCTTTTAGGTTCAAACACGGGCATTTGTGGTTCAACTTCTGGAGCTATATTATCTTGATCTTCCTGGTCATTATCTTGCATGTCATTCATTGGGAAGTCTTTCAAAGGAACTACCTCTTGCTTCTTCACTTCAGTATTTGGATTTTCTAATTCATATTGAGTCTATCTTTGTACATCACTTCTTCATTGAATATGACGTCGCTGTTCCTTATAATCTTGTAGTTTTGGTCATCCCAGACACGATAACCAAACTCAGCATCGCTCTAACCAATGAAAAAACATTTGTTAGATTTAGCATCAAGCTTACTTCTAAGAGTAGAGTCAATGTGAACATATGCTAAACAACCAAACACTCTTAAGAAAGAATAATTTATCTCTTTGCCGCTCCAAACTTCTTCTGGGATCTTGCAATTTATCGGTACAAAAGGTCCTCTGTCGAGCAATTAGGCTATGGTATTAATTGCGTCAACCCAAAACGTCTGTGGTAGCCTAACATGCAATCTCATGCTTCTTGCACGCTCATTTAAGGTTCTATTCATCCTTTTGGTGACACCATTCTGTTGAGGAGTTACAAGAATGGTTTTCTCCATCTTGATCCCATTATTGACATAATATTCTTTGAACCCTTGATCATGTACTCTCCCCCATTATCAGATCGCAAGCACTTCACCTTTAGGTTTGTCTCATTTTCAACCATGGCTCTCTACTTTTTAAAAGTATCAAAAACATTATATTTATTTTTCAAAAAATAAACCCATACCTTTCTACTTGCATCATCAATGAACGTCACATAGTACTTTGAGCCTCCAAGGGATGACACATGAGAGGTCCCTACATGTCTGTATGAACCAACTCCAACTTCTTTCCTTTTGGTTCCCTTGCTACTTTGGAAAAACTTACTCTTCTCTGTTTGCCAAAGATGCAACCTTCACACAAACTGTGATCAATCGACTTCAACTCTAGTAGTATTCCCTTTGATCGAAGCTCCTTCATTCCTTTCACGTTCATATGCCCAACTCTATAGTGCCATAAACTCGAGGTAACACTAGTATTTACGATTGTAATTGAATCTCTGCAACTAGAAGTCATGTAAAAAGTTCTAGTTTTATTTCCACGAGCAACCACCATGGCTCCTTTAGTTACTTTCCATGCACCACCTAGAAAAAAACACACTATGCCCTTCATCGTCATGTTGCCCAACTAATATTAGATTGCACATCAATTTTGGTACATGCCTTACTTTCTGGATTTTTCACACAGATTTGTTTGCCATCTTCAACCTAACATCACCCATACCTACAATATCCAAAGGTTCTCCATCTGCCACGTATACCTTTCCATGATTTCTAGCCACATAATTTTCTAGAATTTCATGATGTGTAGTGGTATGGAATGAGGCTTCTGAATCTAAAACCCAAGCGTCAATAGAACTATCAACAGATACAAGTAAAGCATCTTGTACCTCTTTAGTTACGACATTGGCAGCGTCGTTATTGTTGTCTCTTTTTTTGGTGCTTTGCAATTCCTCTGTATGTGACCTTTATTGCCACAATTCCAACACTCCAATTTTTTTCCCAAACCTAGACTTGCTTCTTCCGTACCTTGATTTTGATCTTCCTCAGTTTGAATTTCTATCATAGCCCTTGCCTCTTGTTT